TGGGAGGATAATCAGGTTGCCTCTTCCCTGTGGCAACCCCTGAGATATTGGAAGACTGCTATCCTGTCTCCCCTAGTCCTTCTTTCTATTAAACTAGACATACCCAGTTCCTGCAACCGTTCTTCATATGTTTCAATGTCGTTGTAATCTGGAACGGTCAACTAAATAAGTCAAGGACTAGCTGTCTTTCTGAAATTGAAGAAACTTTTTGTCTTCCAGGTGGCCAGATATATATATCGGCCTTAGCACCATGGGGAAAAATATGTCCACTCAAAGCATCTTAGATGCTATTGATAATGCCACCACAGCTCATTTGGCCAAAGAGGACTCAACATCTTCTCCTCTGCCGTCTTCATTCTTACGCCCCGGTCAAGGACTACGGACGATGACTCTCGAACTCATGACCCACCCAGGCTACCCCAGCATCCCACCTACTGGAGGTTGCGGAGAAGGCCCCGATGACTTTTCCCAGTCCTGGGAACGCCTGCACGAGCTGGAGACTTTGAAGGATCCGGAGCTCCAGAAACATTACAAGATCAGGAATATTCGGCTGTGCGCTTTCAAAGATCTCGCCGCCTGACTCTCCGCCAAGGACGTTCCCCGGTTTTTAACATTTGGTTTAGAGGTGAAGATGGCTGGATCAGGGGTGGTTTCCAGGTGGGAGCCGAAGACATCTGGGGAATTTTTATTTTGTTTTTGGCACTCTCTGCAGGCGGATATGGCTCCTCCTCCCATTTTTAAATGTTTTTTTTTTTTTGTTCTGTAATGGGAGAAACAAAAAAAAATGGGAGAAGGAACTTTGGACTGCGATGGTCTTCGCGCAAAGAGCCGAGTTGGGTTTCCAAAGCTGATGGCCGCAGGATCGTGGCAGTTGAATTGGGAGCCATTGCTCGGCGTTGGCTTGATAGAAAACACCAGCATAGACCTGAAGTGTTAGGGCTGGGATGGCGAATCTGTGGCACGTCGCCAGATGCTCTTCTGGTTTCAAGCCAGCTTTCTTTGCGGGTGCCAAAGCTCCGGAAAATGGCCCCAAAACAGGGCAGTTTTTCGGGCCATTTTCAGGGCGTTTTTCGGGCCATTTTTTCATGCCAGCCAGCTGGTCTTAGAAAACGGCCAAAAACGAACAGCCCCGAAAAAACAAAAACAGGCTGTTTTGGAGCTGTTCTTTTGGCCAGAAAACAGCCAAAAAAATGTCCTGGAACCCCCCCTCCCCAAAATAGCAAAAACCGGCCAAAAAACAGGCATGGCCTCGCCGGCAAGCTGATGTCCAGGTTTCCAGCACTCTGGTGCGCACACATGCTGTTCTGACCCCCCTCTTCCCACACCAACACACTCCGAGTCAAAGATACTTTCCAGAATTTATTAACAGACAGACAGGTCCTTGGCAGCAAACCAGCACAGATAAGCCGTGGCAGAAATCCAGCCTGCCAAGCTCACAATTCTGTTCTCCAACATTA